TCTCCATCGTCCTCCCTTCTCTTCCTCCCCCTCCTCACCCCTCTCCCTCCTCCACGAAACACAGCATTATTTCTTCCTCTGGTTTTCGAGGATAACACCAATATATTGTCCTAAAAGTCTATACAGTTTGATGGTTCATATACTCAATTTTTCTAACCCCGTGTTCGTCTGACCCCGTGTACGTCTGACCCCGTGTACGTCTGACACCGTGTACGTCTGACCCCGTGTACGTTTGACATCGTGTGTACATTTACAGCTTCGCAAAGTTTTACCCGTCTCACCAAAATCAATTAAAAACATTTTGCCATCTTTTTGTGCACGCTTTCTCTTCGTAACTCAGATGCTCGGCCACTGTCAGGTTGTTGACGCTGGTAGGTTGTCGACGCTGGTAGGTTGTCGACCCTGGTAGGTTGTCGACGCTGGTAGGTTGTCGACGCTGGTAGGTTGTCGACGCTGGTAGGTTGTCGACGCTGGTAGGTTGTCGACCCTGGTAGGTTGTCGACGCTGGTAGGTTGTCGATGCCGGTAGGTTATCGAGCTGGTAGGTTGTCGACGCTGGTAGTTTGACGACGCTGGTAGGTTATCGACCCCAGTAGGTTGTCGAGGCTGGTAGGTTGTCGACGCTGGTAGGTTGTCGACGCTGGTAGGTTGTCGACGCTGGTAGGTTGTCGATGCTGGTAGTCTGACGACGCTGGTAGGTTATCGACCCCAGTAGGTTGTCGAGGCTGGTAGGTTGTCGACTGGTAGTTGTCGACGCTGGTAGGTAGGTTGTCGACGCTGGTAGGTTGTCGACGCTGGTAGGTTGTCGATGCGGTAGGTTATCGAGGCTGGTAGGTTGTCGACGCTGGTAGGTTATCGACCCCGAGTAGGTTGTCGAGGCTGGTAGGTTGTCGACGCTGGTAGGTTGTCGACGCTGGTAGTTTGACGACGCTGGTAGGTTATCGACCCCAGTAGGTTGTCGAGGCTGGTAGGTTGTCGACGCTGGTAGGTTGTCGACGCTGGTAGGTTCCTTGTCAGACTCTGATACCATTCCCTGTAGCTACATCAGGTATACATGCCAGCGAGGCTCCATATTTGGCCTTCCCGCCGCCTCTTCATCTTCATCCTCCTCTTTTTCTGTCAATTCTTCATCATCTCTTCCCGCTTCCCATTTTCATCCTCCTCCTTCTCCTCTATTTCTGTCTCCTCTTCTCTTCCCGCCATCTATCCTCCCGCCTTCTCCACTCATCCTGTCTCCTCATCTTCCTCCTCCTCTCTCTTCCCCCTCCCCCTCCTCCCCTCTCAAGCTATTAAGTTAGTATTAGCTTCCCACCCTCAGCGTCCCTATACCCGACATGTCCGCAGGAGTTTGTCATGTGTGGGAGAAATGAGTCGTAATAACGTGTATCGTGGAGTGACTCGGAGTGAAGGGGGTCGTCCTCGATGATGCTGCTGCTGAGGAGGAGTGCTGATGCCGCCCTCAAGACTCCCCCTTGGGAAACTGTGTGTGTGTGTGTGTGTGTGTGTGTGGGGCAAGTTGTATGGCGGGGTGTTGTGAAGAGAGGGTGGTCGAGGGCCTCCACCATCATCCCGGGGCGCTTCCATAGCCGCGGGGTGGTATGATAATGATCCCCTAAGTGATTTTTAACCTTAGCTCCCAACAGGCGGGCTCCCGTACACCCTGAGAAACTTAACTGGAGGAGGAGAAGAAGGGAAGGAAGGAGGCGCCGTTTACTGGGTGACATGACATCCCAGCGGGGGGTGCCTGTGCTGAAGGGGTGTAGGGCTCTCGGGGGTGAAGGCGAGCCTCTGTGTGTGTGTGTGTGTGTGTGGCGGAGAGGGAATGAGCCAAGGGCACATTGGTTGATATATTACTACGGGTTTGGTATCTCATCTGGACTGAATTAGGTTCTTCTTCCTCTGGCTGGAGGTTAATAAGGCCCTGTCACACTGCGATGGATTAAATAATGAGAAATAATTGCCAGGTGTGACAGTAAGAATGACAGTCGGTGGCTGGGAGTACCAAAGGGGGGTGGGGTGAATGGGTTAATCCAAAATGACTTCTCTGAATGAAATATCATTATCTGGCCACACACTCAGACTACTTCTTGTTCACCACACTGTTGCTTGTGTCTTTCAGTTATTAGTGTTTTTTTTTTGCGGTGGTACATCCATTCACAGAACAAATCTTACTGGACCATTTCTAGCTAGGAAAATGTATGTATGTATGTATGTATGTATGTATGTATGTATGTATGTATGTATGTATGTGAAGAAAATAATAAATTGATGTGAGGAAATGAACCAATTTTATGCCTTGGATAGAATCTTTATATACCAGTGAGCATTTAGAAATACTCCTCAGTGATGTGGTGGTTGTGGTGTTGGCGGTAGTGTTGGCTGTGGTGTGGTGGTGAAGCAGCGGCGGTGGAGCGAAACGAAGGCTTCACCACTTGTGCTTCTTGCAAGGTCGAGAGGTCATGACGGTGACGACAGGTGTATGGTAATGAGCCCCCCTCCCCCCCCACTGTTCCCTCCCTGACGTCTTCATCACCCGGCCTCCTCATATCCCGTGTTGCTCCCTGCGCTTGTTATTAAGTGCGCAGTTCAGGGCCGAGTGCGCTTCCTTCATTGTTGTAGTCGTGTGCTGGGCTGTGGTGTAAGGTCTACTGTTAACCATAATAATAATAATAATAATAATAATAATAATAATAATAATAATAATAATAATAATAATAATAATAACAACAAAAACATCACCTCACTCAAATAACTTTTAATATATCTTAACAAATAAAACTCACTCCCTATACCTCAGTAATTACTATTAACACACAGGGGAATGACGTCATAATTAGTTGCGTGTTTAATTAATTACCCGTCTAACATAAAATGTATATATAATTAGTTAGATGTTATTTATGGGGAGTAATTTTAGGTTAGGTTAGGTGTTAAACAAGTGAATTAGATTTATTTTTGTGTTGGTGAAAAGTGAATATTTTTCTTAGCATTGTTCGAGCATCTTAACATATCTGACGTCATGGCCTAGATACTGTGTTTTCTAGACCACCCAATGTGACTAATTACGGAGTTGAATTTATTTATAACTGTACTCCACTTTATAGTAATTACTGCTAATAACGTACGTACACATTGGAGGGCTAGTGTGTGTGTGTGTGTGTCTGTCTGTCTGTCTGTCTGTCTCTCTCTCTCTCTCACATCAACAAGATTACGACAAAAACTGAAAACTGTGTTACGATTTTGTTTTTTTACGTCGAGTTAATGCTTTTAGGTGTCCAAATGTCCTGTTGTCTTCCGTTTTCTTTATGGGTGAGTGTGTGTCAAGATCAGAGTGTAAGCGTTCGTAACATTGTCTCGTTGCTTCTTGCTGTTTGTCCCAGAGAGAAAAAAAAAACATGGTGGGATTTGAGGTCTTTGTTGGTATGATTATTTTTTTCTTCACGTCACTTTACTCTCTCTCTCTCTCTCTCTCTCTCTCTCTCTCTTTCTTTCCTTCTGTGGTAGTGTCCCCCGACCAGGTGGTAATTGTCATGGGAGTACCTGTGTTCCTCTCTGGTTACCACGACCTCATGACCAGACTTGTGCCCCGACACTGGATCCTTAAAACCAGAGGGGGGGGAGGGGGTGTTTCCAGCGTTCACTTCCCACGGTTTATGGGAGGTGATACCCTGAGTGAGTGAGTGAGTACGGTCCTGTTGCTTCGTTTGTAATGTGTTTTAGACGTGCCAATTACACAAAGGTGATGTTAGAATCTATTATATCAAGTTTTTTTTTTGTAAATGTTATGTTCCTGGATATTATTTTAATTATGATTTATTTACAATAATTACAGGTGTACCCAGGTGCCGTGCATTTATTAATTTTGTGTGTTGAGTGATGAATGGGAGTGTTTATGAAGCTAGACAAGGCGTGGGAGAGTGTAGGGTAGAGGAAGTGGGTTGTGGGAGTGTGGTGATTGAGTCATTAGGTCATTAGCGTGGGTGGTAGTAGGTGGGAGTTGTGACCTGAGGTGCTCAACTGCGGTGTATGCGGCGTTAGTTGTTGTGGCTGCGGTTTGGCGGCGGTGGTGCGGCCACTGGCTGTAGTTTCACTGGGGTGACTCATCCTCCGGCCGGTGCTGCGCCCTTGTGGTTTCCGGCCTTCACCTTACTGATCCCAAAGTTTTCCTCCGCCTTCACACCAACACATTTCTTGTTATTTCTCATTTCTCTGCCTTTTTCGATCGTAAGAGTCGGCGGGAGTCATTACCGAGGGTGAGGATGTTACGGTGGTGGCCGCCGCCGTCGTTGCTGGCCTCACACACCAGTAATAAGGTATAAATACAACCATCTCCTCGGTATTTATTTTCCGCGCAGAGACATTCGCGCACACTAATGTGGCCGCGCGTCACCACGAATTGAGTCATTATCCCATTACCGTGCCTTTACGACTTCCATGTCGAGGCTGGCGAACCTCCGTCACATAAACACCTCCATCAAGCGACGGGGTCGACCCTCGTCACCTGCACACAACTACCGCTCGGATATAGGCCAGCAGAGCCGTCACCACCTCCACCCTCTCGTCCTCCAGTCATGGGCCGAGCAGCATCTCTCGGCTCACATGAGATGCCATCAAAGCTTCCTGGACGCGAGTCGTCCACCAGAGGCCGTGGCTGGACACCTGCAGGAGGTGGGGGGGGAGGTGTTTACGATGGTTGGGTCCTGGTGCTGGAAGTTATGGCTGCCATAATGGTTCACGTTTTGGCTAGTGGTAACGTTGTGGGTAATTGGGTTGTATTGACGTTATGGTTGGTGGACGTTATTGGTAGTGAGCAAGTTTCTCGCCTCGACAACCATTAACTAGTGTTGTAGTTTAGCGTAACTTGTATTATACATGTCTTCAATATGTTTGGGTGCATTTTTTTGTGACAAGTATTTGTCCCTGATGCCACATTAAGATAATGACCGTGTTTGGTGGGCGCTCATAAATTGTGTGTAATGGTTGTTTTATCTTTGTTCACAGGTGACGAAGTACCAGGTGGAGAGCTGCGCCTCCTACACCAACTGTTCCTCCTGCCTGGGGGCGCGGGACCCCTACTGCGGCTGGTGCTCCCTGGAGAAAAGGTAAGTCACCCCTCTGGCAGTACTTGTATTACTCTCCTGGCGACCCTTGTGAGCCACACACAGACTGCCACTCACCTGCTCCAGCTGGTGGCCAGGACGAGGACACTTCTTTATAAGATCACCTGTATGGTTATGGATTATCTAAGTTTTCAATATAGCATTTTAACATTATGAACCTGGAGACGTATATCTTGAATGCTTTAAAGAGGAGAGTCGGAGCACCGTAAAGATTGTAACTTGTTGATGACTAATTGATTGGTGTAAGAATATTGTTGCTACAGACGTGAGAGGAAGTTGGCCAGAAGATGTGGTGAGTGAGGGACAGTGTCAGGGCAGGTGGTTACTTATAGGGACAGTACCGGACTTTATAATTACTTCAGAGAGGTTGTCACTGTAGGGGTTAAGGAAATGGCGCCAGAGAGACGGTCACTATAAGAGGGGAACACCAAGAAGGTCACTATAAGAAAGTAACACTTGGGTGGACGGGTCACTATAAGAGGGTAACACCAGGGTGACGGACACTATAAGAGGGGAACACCAGGGTGACTGCAACTGTAGTAGGCGGGGGCGGGGAGGATAGGTCTTCTGAGGACACTATCTAGATTATAGGTCTCGGCACTGTCCAACAGGAGAGTTGGCTCCAGACGGCCTCTATCAGACAGTGGCTGGGGAGGCAGAGAGAATTATTGGTCCGCCATCAATTTTCTTATCGAAGCCTTTGGACACTGATGAATAGAGTGGCATTGGGCAGTAATGGAGGAAGGTAGACTGTGGGGGCGCTCGTGAAGACACATGGGGAGGGAGGGGGGAAGAAGAGTCACTTATCCGCCCTCACTGCACCCTGGGGAATAACCTCCTCGTCCTCCTTCACCTCCTCCTTCAACCCCCCTCCTCGCCCTTCTCTCTTGCCTGCTATCCTTCCTGACACACTCCCTTGATTTAAGTCCCACGCTTCTACTTTACCTTGCCCCCCCCACCCTTTCTCTCTCCTCCTCCCTCTCGCTACCTTCCCTTTTCCACTTGCCTTCCCTTCCTCCGGCTCTCACGCTCCCCGACCCTTGCTCTGTTCCTTCTGCAGTAGCCACCAAACCTCTCCGCCAGATTCTTCACCTCCAATCTCTCGGTGATGAGAATATCACGGGACGCGGCGCCTTTACAGTAGAGCCTTGGTTCGAGGGCTTTGGTTTACGGTGGCAGGAGGGGAGCGACGTGAGAGAGAGCAGGAACCCTCGATGTTTGTTTAGTTGGGGCGTGTTGGAGAGAGAGGGAGGGGGATGGGGAAGGGATACTAAAACCAAGGTAAAAAATTAGGCAAGAGTGTATTGGGAAGGTGTAAAAAGGGTAGGGGAGACTAAGCTTGATGGGGAGACTAAGCTAGTAGGGGAGGGGAGTTAATAGATGACGGAGATACACAGGCTGACAGTGTTTACCTTCTACAGCCAGTAAAGTAAGGAACCTTCTGACTGCTACGTCCGCCACTGCGCCGTTCACCACCGGAATATTTGTCATGTTAGGAAATAATTTATCGTTGAGGTTAGAGAGGGGCGGCGCTGTAGCGATAATTTGGGGGAGTGGCTCAGCCCTGTCCCGCCTTCTGCCATGACAGATAATTAAACACGGGAGCTTAAGTTGAGGATAAGATTGCGTTGTCTCGTAACTTGAGGGTCGGGGCTCAAGAGAGTTCCCGGGGCACTGTGAGCTCTGTGAGAACTTTCCATAAAGCTCACATCGTGGCCCGCGACCTCCTCCGTCCACTTATAATACAACAGTTTATATTCATGAGATTTAAGAGATCTGGTCCTATGTTGAGCTGGGTGCAAGCACTTATTTTGCAGTCCACGCCTGAGGTGCACCACCACAGGCAAATTGCCTCCCATTCTCTCTCTCTGTCTCTCTCTCTCTGTAATATGAAAAAGAAAGCACCCAGGTACTATATTTACCTAGTCATACGTAATTGTCTTCATTCTGGGTTGTTCACAAAGGAGCTAGAGTTGTTAGACAACCTTCTTCGGTAATAACATTTTTGTGAATGCATTGAGTTGCAGTTTACGTCTTCCTCCTCCCCTCCTCCCTCCCCCACGTGGCTGGACTGGCTTTTATCGTGAGCTTTTGAGGGCGTCTGGTCCGGCTGGAGGCTTTTGTGGCCCTTGTCTGGACGTGGCAGCTCCAAGAAGAAAACGGGATATGTCTCATTACTCAGCCGCGCGAGATGGACCCCCAGCTTGTCCGCAACACTGTGACACCAGGGGGAGGTTGGGAGGGGGGCTAAGTAAGGCTGAGTGAAAGCAAACAGGTGAATGATTAGAGACCAACTTATGAATGCTGGAGGAAAACGGGAAACTTGATGGGTAACAACAGGAGGCTGAGTGGTCAACAGTAGTGTGAGTGGGTGTCAATAAAAGCCAAATGGGGCAACAAGGGCCAAATTGGGGCTGTTGAAGGACCATTAAGAAGCGGAATTTAGGATAACCGGAAGTAGAATGGAAGACCAAATTGGCAACAAGTAGAAGACCAAGGGGGACCAAATGGGTGTGAAACATAAGAGTTGGATAAGGTGGTGCCGTGTTAGGACCGAGGTGGGTTTTGTAGTGGAGCGAGTGTGGGGGTGTAAATGGTCAAGGTGGGCGTGGGGGTGGAAGTGATGGTGAGGGTGGAAATGAGTTTGAGGGTGGAAGTGGGCGTAAGGGTGGAAGTGGGCGTGAGGGTGTAAGTAGGTATGAAGATGTGAGAGACGGAACTGTGGACGAGAACCATTGACGCTCGGGAGTGAGCGAGTGGTGGTGGTGGTGTGAGGACAAAGGCGGACATGAGGTGTGCATTAGGCTGGAGGTGTCGTTGGCGCCATGCAAGGACCTCCTTCTCTTGCTGCTGCCGGGGATAATATCGCCCCCTCCCCCCTTCCTCCCTCACAACCGGGGCAGTTCATTATTAAAGGCGTCCACACCATTATCAGCACTCCTGTCCTTCCCTTGTCCACCCCACCCCAGTTCACCCCGTCCCACCCCCAGTTCACCCCCTCCTACCCCGCCCCGCCCCGCCACTAAGGCTTAAATCCCTACATTCTTCTCTCTTCTGAAGGCTCCTGCAAAATTATGTCTTGAGGCGTTCCTGTGCCCGCTTGTATCAACACTTCATAAATATGTTGTATGTAAACAAGGTGTGTGTGTGTGTGTGTGTGTGTGTGTGTGTGTGTGTTGACGAGAGAACTTTTTGCACAACACCGACTTATAGTTACATAATTAATGACTGTAGTTAGTTAGCGGAGGAAGGGTTGTTAGTGTTGGTACAGGTGTGTGGAGTGTGTGAACAACCTCAGTACCTGGGTGAGTGTGTGTGTGTACCTCCACCTGAGGCGTAATTAGAGGAGCTAAGACACCATTAGCTATTACCTGCGGGTGTCATTAAACGAGACAATACCATAGTCTCTTTACACCACTAAACATGTTTACCAGATATTCCCGTCTTGGACACTGTCTCCACGTCCTCCCATCGTCATCACATCCTTCATCGTCACCACGTCCTCCCATCGTCATCCATCGTCACCACGTCCTCCCATCGTCATCACATCCTTCATCGTCACCACATCCTCCATCGTCACCACATCCTCCCATCGTCATCACATCCTTCATCGTCACCACGTCCTCCCAACGTCACCGCGACCTCCCATCGTCTCCACGTCATCCCATCGTCACCACGTCCTCCTTCGTCTATCTACACGAGCCTTAGCTATAGTTTTTTTTTACCATGATAAAGTGAAGGGTGGTTGTATCTTAGACTTGAAGAAACCATTAAAATATATACACCCTTTTATGCCTGTTACATCTAGGAAGTTGTGACCATTTACGTACACTGCAAAGCGTGAACGTATGGATAGGATCATGGAAACACACACAGGAGTGACCAGCTATATTGTAAAGGTTTAATTTATCTTCCCAGTACAGGAGCCGCCACACCATCATCCACACCTCTAGTTCTGAATGCTTCCTTGTCTTGCGTCTCTCAGTGTCACGTGTATGTTACTCCTTCCACCTCATCCCGTCTCTTCCATGTTTGTTTCACCTTGTCTTATATCCAAGCTGTTATTGATCCCACCTTGACTTTTCTTTATATTTTCTTTGTACTTCACCACCCCACATGTGATCCATCTCATGTTTGTCTTGTGCCATCTCGACTGGGTTCCATTCACCTCACGGTCTCATTTTATCCTCCACTATGTTGGTGCCATTCCGTCCCTCATCTCAAGCCAGGCCCGTGTGCTCCCCTGGTGGTGGTGGAGGGCGGCAGGTTGTCGTCAGCATTAAGGCAGGCTGCGACAATGGTCCGATAACAAGGGCAACATAAACGCGAGGGCGCAGACGGGGTATTATTCTCAAGCCGCCGGTCACAGCACAAGTGGAGAGGAGTTCCAGGAACGCCAAGAATGGAGCCCCGCGCTGTTTGGTGGCGAGTTTTAGGATATTTTTTGACGCCGCATTATTACCGGGATATTCTGGAGGCTTTTGTTATTGTCCGTGGCTGTTTTTTGCTGTCTCTCGTGTGTGTGTGTGTGTGTGTGTGTGTGTGTTTTTCTCGTGGTGCGTACAGAATATAGAAAGGGGTGCGGGGGGGGGGGGATGAAGGATACAGACACCAGGGAAGGTATGAGCAGAACTATCCTCCCACCACCATCAGCACGTCTTCCTGGAACACTCAACACTCACTCTCTCCTTCTAAACCTCTATACCCACACGGGCATTCACACCAAGGCTTAACATGTCTGGTGCTACATGCTCAAGTGACACCTCCACTCTACTGTTAAAACTCCAAGAAGAATGTAGACCTCAAGGATCATAGCAACTTGTTCACTTTATTGAATTTGTTTTCACTTGAAACCTCAGGAATGATTGAGAGGTGAGGCAGGAGGCGTGAGATAGGAGGTGATAAGAGGTGTTACAATGAGGAGTGAGGGAGGAGCTGGAGCAGGCAGGTATATGGAAGATGAGGAGTGGGGGGGGGGTGTA